CAACATTACAAGATGTACCATTCAATGCATGTATTCATTTGAACAGACAATAAAACTGCCAAAAACCCAAAGATTTTCACAAAGTATTAATCTCAATCAAGCACTCTAAAATGCCCCCTTTACACAGTGATTACACCCGAGATGTTAAAAGAATCACAAATTCACAAAATAGGTCATCAAGAATTCCCATAAAACACTAGGGTTTAGAGCTTTCTCAAGATATTCACTTTCTCAGCAGCCAAACACAGAAAGAGAGAGAGAAAATATTAAAAAAAGGGTTACTAAAGAGGAAAAAAAAAACTGACCACCAATAGTAAGAAACAGCACGGTCTAGCTTGAAAGAAAGCAAAAGCGTGAATGAGAAAAGCAAGGCATGAGCTATAAGGCCCTGTGATGACTTGGCGACTCTCCTCCAGCTCATCACCACTCTTCTTTGAACCAGCAGAGAAGGAATTTATAAGGCGAGTTCCAATTTCAGGAGAATTGACTCCCTTTCTATTTCGGATTTAGCTTGTTTGTGTTTTCAGAAGAGGAAACTGTGAGCGAGAGAAAAGAATTCGGAAATTACAGGGTGAATGAATCATGAATGGCATCGAAACAGAGACAGTTTTGTCGTCATGGCTTCTCTTTCACGGCAAAACAAAGTGAAAGAGACATGTTTCATATTGACGGAAATAGACGTGGGTTTTTGGTTTAATTACAGGTCTGTTGTCCGGATTCGTGGGAGAATGGTCGGGGTAGTTTGGTAACGAGGGATGAGAGAAAAGGGTAAAGAAGACAAAGTCGTTGGTTGAATTGAAAATAACCATTGCAACTCAAAAAGTTTCTGAAGTGTATTGGCAAATGGATAATTTCCCGTTACATCTTCCGTTCGTACCAAGATAATGAATATATATATCTATATATATATATATATCAACTTGCAGGTTTAACACAAGGAGGGATACAAGCTAGTCGGTGATGGGAAGGGATTATCAATTTGATGATTTATTAATGGAAAGGGAATCATTGTATGGAGTAAGGTGTAGGTGAAAAGGCGTAAGGCACCATCAGAAGTGCTTTGATTGAACGATGATGTGACAGATGAACATCTTTGATTGCTTTCAACTCCATAATGATTGCTGGATCGGTTAATGCCTTCGCTTTCCATCCTATCATTTTGAATTTGATTCAAGGAGTTCATCGCAATTTCTTGAGTATTTATTTTGACAGGACATTTCCTTATTCTTCGTGCGTTTGTGCAAGGAACAATAAGGTTGTTTTTTTTTTTAAGGTTTTTTTGAAAAAAAACATTTCAAAAATATATTTTTAAAAAATATATTAGTATATAAAAATAATCTAAAAATATTAAAAAATATATAAATTAAAAATTAAAAATAAATATTTTTTAAATATAAAAACAAATAGCTTATATTTAACTCGAATGAGACTTGAAATTGATCCATAAATTGATTTGATCAAATTCTATCAATCCTATTTACTTGATTGAATAAAATATGAATTGTAATAAATAAATAAAAATGATTTTATTTTAATTTTTATTAAAAAATAAAAAATAAATTAACTTAATAATTCAGTTTTTATTTTTATTTTTATTAAAAAAATAAAGAATAAAAAATAAATTAACTTAATAATTCAATAACTTTGTTATTTTATCAGTCGGATCCCAACCCAATAACCATATATATAAACAAGTCATGACCGTTAAAAAAAATCAGGAAAATCTTAAATCTCACTCTCCATCATCAAAGATCGTAATTTCATTTTTTTTTTATAGTCAATGGGTCAATAATTCGCTGCCATTAATGAATATTCAATAATGAAAACCAATAAACATGGCAGGTAGATTACTTTCGGTGTTTCATTTGCAGAGTTTTGGTGAGGAAATTTAATTTTGCCTGGCAGTTTAATTCTAGCAGCGTTGAACAAATTCCTACGCCACAGGCTCTCATTTGTGATCCAACAATGTCCGGTACGAGAGTTTCTGTGTAGCTATAAAATATCATCTTGCATTTAATTTTAGCCTACGTTTTCTTAAAGGTTTGTTTCCCTGAGAACATATCCAACATGAAGGATTATACACCTAACATTCAGGGTTCTAAATGGATCAATCAAAGATGGTTGAAACCATTGGTTTACATGTTATGGGAAGGTAAAAATAAGAGTAAAGTGTGATGCTGTATTTGATAAAAAAAAAAAATCCCAAATTATCGGTGTTTGCATATTCTTGATTTTATCGGATAGGTTCATGACCATCTGTAATTCAAAATCCTTTTATCAAAATATTTTGATTTGTATTTAATTTTTATTATATAGAATTGGGATAATAAAATTTAAATTTATAATTATTTAATTAACAATACTCTAATACCATGTTAAAAAATAATTTTAATTTAAAAATTTAAACTTTTAAATAAATTCATAAATTATAATTTATATTATTATCTAATAATTTCATATCCAATTAAGCTCATTGGGAGACAATAAAATTGTTTTCAAAATCTCTATAATTATTCTGGAAAACTTAAGGCAAAATTGGCATTGACACAAGTTGTTTCATGGATTTATTTTCTTTTTTTAAATTAACGTGGGTGTCCGGACCATCTTGCGCGCACCACGACTAATCCCACGGGCCCTAAAGTTAACGACCATGTAAGCCTCCAGTGGCTATCATATGAGCAACCAAGGACTCGAACCTGAGACCATAGAGGGAGCAAACTCTTTGATCTCAAGTCCTTACCACTTTACCACCACCTAGATGATTATAGATTTATTTTCTTACTTGTTTACATGGAGGCTACTCATTGTAGTTATATAAAGAGTATATATGAAAATATGATACTAATTATTTTTTAATTTAAAATATATTAAAATATTATTTTTATTTTTAGGAAATATTTTTAATATTAATATATTAAAAAAATATATTAATATATTTTTTTTTAATTTTACCCAATAACATCCAATGTGATACCAAAAAGGATCTACCTAGCAATCGCAAGATAATGGCCTGTCGGGCACGTTTCATTTGAAATCTACCTGACCTTTGGCAACGGGAAAAGAATAACGATATTGAATTCAACGGCGCCAAAAGCATGGGCAAATCCCGTCACGCCACCACCTCTAAATTCAAATCCCGCGTCTTAATCTTGGATTGATTGGTTAGTTATCACCTATCAATTCAAATCCCAGTATCTTAATTCTGAAGATATAGATTAATTCATCAGTTTTTAAATTTGTTTTTTTTTAATTATTAATTTAAGTATTATATAGATTTTAGAATCAATATTATTATTAATTTTAAAATTTATAAAATTAATCAAAATATATATAAACTATCTCCAACATTTATATTAATAAAAAAAAAGTACAATACTTACAAGGATGTTATTACACCGCATACCACAATGCTTAACTTGAAAGGTTTGGTTTAAAGTTGAAATGCAGCCAGGGGAGTTTCTTTCGCCGCGGACTCTATAAGATTCTCGCTGTTAGGAAATCCGGAGGCCGAAGGGAAAAAAGAAAAGATCACACACAAACACAAGCTTTTAAATGATAGTCTGCACCACATAAAATAAAAAAAAATGTAATCTTCACCATTACGTTGTGTTGGATTTGAAGTTAAAATTTGAAGGTTTAATAACTGCTAATTCATTAAAATGCAAGAAAAAAAATTGAAATTTCAAGGATATTTTGCTTGGTGTGGAAAAATTAAGTTTAATGATGAGATACAATAAATTTTAAAACAAAAATAAACTTTAATAAAGTAGAAAAATAATAGATAATCATATATTGCTGGGACCTAATATTATTTTTAGGAAAAAAAAGGGAAATGAGCCAAAATTTTAAAAGAATTATTTCAAACAACATTTTTTTAGCCTACCCCTGATTAGGTTAACATCTCAATTTCATCAAAATAATACAAAATACTAAACATAAATAAAAGAAAAAAAATGTTGATCCATTAACAGTGCTAAGTAAAAAGCTATTAATGTTGATCCATTAATAGTATTTTTTTTGTTTATAAATACATTAAAATAATGTTATATATTTTTAAAAAAATTAATATCAATACATCAAAATAATAAAAAATTAATTTTAATCAAGAAAAATAATTTAAAAATTTTTAAAAACATTATTTCTACCAAAAAAAAAACATGAAGTTAAAAAATACAAAAACAAACATGAACCTCATCTAAAAGCAGATAAAGTTTGAACTTGGAGAATACAAAACATACTAAACAGTCAATATTAGCTGGCGCACAGAATAAGCATACACGTGACTTGGAGAATAACCATGAAAATTTGGAACTTCTCAGATGAAGAAAAACACCAGTACTTCTTCATCACTTATTTTACACTCGTCTTGTTTATATATATATATATAGTTTACATATTCATACACGTACAATGACATCGACATAGTTACCGGACCTTCGACAACTAGCCTCTTCCTTCTTTCATATCCTTGGCCACAACTATAGCGATATACTCCCGTGGAGCCAGGCAGGAAGTTTCCTAGCTATAGCAGTTAGGAAGACGTCCTGGGTTGCCAAAGTTGGCATACATTTCATGTGATGAATTTGAATACATAATTTATTAATTTGCTTTTATATAGAAAGATAAGAACATTGGTTTTGCGTGGATCCTATAATGCTACAATAATATTATAAGATACAATCTACATGAATTTATGATCTACATGCGTTGTGGTAAACACATCAATATAACACACTACCATGCTAACAAACTTGCAGATGAAAAATTAAATTGATGGTTTATATGTTAATTATCTAGCCACCCACGGATCGATAATCAATACAGACTATCTTTTACAAAAGTGATGTACAATAATATTATATCATTTTTTATCCAATGTTGTTTGATTCTTATCAAGAATCATCTTATAATTAGTCATATCCAATTTAGTCTTCACGCGGACCAAAAAAGGAGGACTGGAATTACAAGTATAAAAATCCCCTTGGAGATTTGTGGCCACACTCGCTTCTCCTTTAGTTTTAAAAACAGATGTGAATGGAACCTGAAATCGATAAGTCCACAAAACCAAATCAGATGCTGTTGTGTGGTCGAGTGAAGTTCAAATCTTGACTGAGAATGATTTTGTTGAAGATTTTTGGTGCTTTTGAGGTATGTTTTCCTCATCACTTTCTCCCTTTTTAAGGGTTTTTTTTTGTTATGGTCCGTACGTGTGTTGTAGATTTCAGGCAACGTTTAGTGTTATCCAGGGTTTGTTTTTTTTTTAAGATTAATGTGGTTGTTTGGGCCAGCTTGCGCGCACCACGACTAATTCCATGGGTCCTGAAGTTAACGACCATGTAAGCCTCCAGTGGCCATCATATGAGCAACCAAGGACTCGAACCTGAGACCACAGAGGGAACAAACCCCTTGATCCCAAATCCTTACCACTTAGCCACCACCTAGATGGTTGTTATCCAGGGTTTGTTGTTCAAGAATAATGTTGTGTAGTGGATTGTTGACCGTCCTTGTTCTTCTTCTTCTGTTTTTGCTGATTCAACTAATTTAAAATAATTTGATATATTTTTTATCCAATAGAGAATGAATTCAAAAATTATATGGTATTGGGTTTTCATTATGGTGGGAGATTCAAGGTTAACACTATAGTTATTAAACCTGATCCGGGATTCGATTGATTCAGTGATTGTACCGCTTTAGATTTGTTAAAGACCAGCAGGTGTAATAATTTGATAAACTTAGGTGATTCGATGGGTCAATTCATAACCCAAACAACTCAAAAGGACCTGGATGAGACCTAATGTTTATTTTTATTCAAATGTGCTTCTCTTCTTATTTTTTAATGAGCTGATGTTTACAAATGCTCTTATTGTTCATAAAAGCTAATTCGACATAGATAAGCTGACTAAGAAGTTTGTTGCTATACACAAGGCTACTTTTAGAAAAAAAAACATATAAATAAATGGTTTATACTATTTGATTTTTAGACCTTTAATGCCATTGGAAAATAAAAAAAGTGCAGAAAACAAGCAAATCACTATTGATAATTATTCATATTCATGCTATTGTTAGTTAATTTTATATGGTGAGCTCTGCTTCATCCTGAAAAGCTAGGTCTCTTGGTTTGGCCAATAGGTGGCGGGGAAAAAAAGAGAGGGGCTCTCTAGTTTTAGCCAAAAAAGGCAGGGGGGTGACTGAGGGAGGGATGAGGGAAGTTGTGGTTGGATCTTTATGGAAGCTGCTTTGGCCAAGTGAAAGGGAAGCTCTGCTGGTTTTAGAAGAGAAAATCCAAAGCAAGGAGGGCGGCAGCTTGTTTTTATTTCTAATAAAGATAGGAAAAATTTAGGGCTGGTGTGCCATCTTTTAAATTTATTTTTTTAATTAACAAAATAACATATTATTTTTTAATATAAAATAAAAAAATTTAAAATATTTTTTAAACTTTAGTATTTATAACATCTATAATTTATATTTCTATCGATTTTTAAAAAAATTTATATAAAATATTAAAATTTTAATATTATTTATAAATTTTTTTTAGTTAATTTAAATTAATCCGAATCGAACCATAAAACCCAGCATCTTAACTAGGTAAATTTCCAAACCAGGTTTAATAAAGTTTTCGGGTGAACGACTTTAGATTTCAATGCATCAAACTTCAAGGAAACTTGGGTATTTTAAGTTTTCGGATGAATTTAAAAAAAATCAGGTATCAACAATGTTGGATACATGCGATATTTGATAGTTCGGAAATCCTTTAAATCTGCGCTTCGTTTGTTTTCTGATGATGGATGTTTTTATGTAGTCATGAGCGCTCGAGGTGTACGGACTGGTTCATATATATGCAGAGCTTGTCCCTCTACTTGTCAATGACTTAGATGGGTCTAATGATTGCCCCACCGTTAGTCTGGACAAAATGTTGGTGCTGGTCTTAATGAAGGTGTAGGTGAGCCTTTTAGTGTGGGTTTTGAGTATGCTGAAGACTGTGAGGTGTCTAATGCTACCGAGGGTATCCTAATTCTTTCAACTTTTAGCTGTTATTGAAATCCGAGATAGCACTCTTTCTCTGAAATGTTCAGCTAATATTTTTGTTGTCACTGTCCTACTATGGCTCACCTTGAAACATTTATGTTTTGGCTTATAGGTTTTCATCTGGAAAACTTCTTGATTTTAATTGCATGAAGCATGAAATAGTAACCTGGTTTGCACCACGCTCTAACTTCCTCCGAATCATTCTTTCGAAATCTTAAATCATATCCTTTTTTAACAATAAATTTTCTCACGCCATTTCTGAATTGTTCAGCATTGTTAAAAGCCATACCGACAAGTCATGTTGGATTATCAGGATCAAATGTAATTGACCTACTACTCCCTTTGATACCTGTATCTTCTTCTTCACTGTCAGAACTATCATAGTTGCCTGGGTCAGATGATGTTGAGCGATCAATCTCATATCCTGGCACTTTACCCTCTTTACCACCGCCACCACCACCACCACCACCATCATCATCGTATGAATGGCTCTACTGCACAGACTCGACTGAAGAACAGGATGCAGTGGAAGATGACGCACATTAACTAAAATCTCCTCATCATGCACCAACATCAGATAATTCCACACTTTCCCCAAGACAGACGCATCTCAGGTTTATTTGGTAGTGTAGTGAGGTGTGGTTGACCGTAGAAAGTGTTTGGTTAAGCAATATTTATCACAGTTTTGCATGGATACTACTGAAAACTCTATTTTGAAACCTCTTAAACCTACCTTTTCAAACTGCAACCATAATGCCGAACACGCACTACGGAAAACTCAGCTAAATGTCCGTGCCTCATCGAGTATGTTGTATAGGGTTAAAAATAAGATAATAGACGAGGAGCATGGTGGTTTAAGAAATGAGCATGGTTTATTGTATGGATATGCTAAAAGAGTTAGAGATCACTAATCCTGGGACAACTACTGATGTGAAAGTTGATAATACTAATTTGAAGAGAAGGCCAATATTCTCATGAGTTTTATAATTGTTCTGAAGCATGTAAGCAAGGGTGGAAGGCTGGCCGCAGACCTGTCATTGGTCCTGATGGATGTTTCTTGAAGCACTTTTTGTAAAGGACAACTGTTATATGCCATTGGGAGAGATGGGAATAATCAAATGTTCCCCATTTCTTGGGGTGTTGTGGAATTGGAGAGTGCAGGTACTTGGAAATGGTTTTTGGATCATTTGATGGCAGATCTTAATGTTGCCAATGAAGGTGAAGGGTTCACAATCTTCCCTGACGTGAAAAAGGTGATTTACGTCATATTATTATTTGTGTATAAGTTATTATTATTTGACTTTTTACTGATGTTCTTGGGTCTTTTGCAGGGTCTTCTATCAGCTGTTCATAAGGTACTCCCAAATGTTGAACACAGACATTGCGTCAGACACGTACACGCTGCCTAGCAGAAAAAAATGGAAAGGAAATGAGAGGAAGCTTCAGTTCCGGGCATGTGTTAGAGCAACATCTGTAAACAATTAAAAAAAGAGTTTGAAGAACTTGATAAAATGGGTCATGTAATAGTGTAAATGTCTTAAGAGTAAGGAGAGCATAGTTTTTTCAAGCCTTTTTTGTCAGCACAGTCCCACAATGTGATGATGTTGGCAATAACATTATGAAAGCTTTTAATGGATGGATTCTTGGTGCAAGGGCCAAACTAACTGTAACAATGCTAGAAGAAATCACAGTTACGATTATGAATAGGATACTTGTGAAGAGGGGCTGTGCATTGAAGTGGAAAACACCAATTGCTCCAGAAGTGTTTAAGATATTTGGAAAAAACAGAGTAGAAGCAGTTGATTGGGCTCTTGAATACAATGGAGATGATGGATACGAGATTATCAAAGGTGACATGAAGCATGTTGCATGTTGGCCTTAGAAACAAAACTTGCATTTGTAGAGCTTGGATCTTATAGGCATTCCATGCCCTCATGCAATCACTGCAATATACATGGAGATGTGGTCCCTGAAACTCAAATAGCACTTTGGCATCATAGTGAAACATATCGAAGTACATATTCCTTCTCTTTAAAACTTGTTAGAGGTCAGACTTTTTGATCTCCCACTGAAAATGCTCCTCCAGAAATTAAGAAGAAGCCTGGATGACAGAGAAGAAATAGAATACAAGACCAATAGGAGCCAAGGAAGAAAGGAAAATTGTCTAGTCAGGGTGGCTTCAAGACATGCAAGAATTGCGGTCAAGTTGGGCATAACAAAAGGAGTTGTAAACAACCTAAAAGAACTCGCCAGGTGTTATGTGCAGCTACTGGCCTTGATTTTGAGTTATCTATTTTACAAGTTAACTAGTTATTTTGTCTTTGGTAGGACACTAACAGGGATAGTGGTGCAACCAGCAGTAATAAACAAAGGTTTGAAACTCCTATGAATGTTTTAAAATCAAGCACACGATCTGACGTGAATATTGGTGGAAACAAAAGTGAAGAAGAGCAAAAATTCTCTATGCATCAAGTTGACCAAGAAAATAGTAAAGGTAAAAGGAAAGAAAAGGTCATTGACAATCAAACAAGACGAAGAAAAAGGGTAGAGGCCCTGATGTTACACCGCAGTTATCTAAAATGCAGAAATTGAATGGCAGTATAATGTAGATGAGTTTATGTTAGCACCAGAACTGCTGCGGGCATGGAGTTTATGTTAGCACCAGAACTGCTGCGCGCATTGTTAATGTAAGTCCATTAGCTTAAACTTATGAAATGAAATAACTTATTAGAATTACTATTTCATAACTAACTCTTGTTTCGCAATGCCACTATTCATTTCCAAATAGGATTATAATACCGGGACCTTTAAAAATGAAAAATGCTGATACCGGTTCAACGGTCCGTCAAGCTTCTACAGCTGCAAAACTGAATCAGCCAGCACAAGGTTCAACCTTGCATAAAGCTTCACAGAATGCAAGCTGGAACTAAGCATCAACTACCAAAAAGGTTCAATCTGATTTGCAAGGTGTAGCTGACCATGGATTCCAGTTATGATCCTTGTTTTTGATAGATATGAATGTAATGAATGTTATATTTTGTGGGTATTGTCCTCTGATGATATGCCCGGTATTATCATCTCATCTACATTATACTGCCATGAAAACTTTAGATTGTTTCAGGTACAAAACAGAAGCTTAAATTATTCTTTGTAGGTTGTTATGCTGTGACTTCACTTATTCGTTGTTGGATTTTGTACCTGATTATCAGTTTGTGCCTTGCTACTGTGGTTTTGTTTTATTTATTTTTAGTCTAACTGTAATTTACTTGATAATTGCAGTTTTTGTCACCTGATTTTTTGTATTTAAATGTTCTTGCCAATATTATCACGTACAGAAACTTTTAAGAAATTTGACATTCTTTCCAACCAGTTCAGTTCCCACTGGTGAAATCTAGAATTCATTGGAGATTTGCAGCAAAGCGCCCGTTACATCCAAGTCAAGCTAGTCAAGGGTGCTGGTGGAGATGCAAAGCCAATGAATGTTGTTTTCAGCGTCTACATAACCATCAATCCTTGCATTTGGAAAAGCATTACATCTTCTGTTCATGGTAGGAAAAGCTAATTGTGCATCCGTATCATTTACTGCTGAGGGTGACTCGGTTATAAGGAACAGTGGATTTGACTGGACCATTTTCTACAATTTAATGACTTGATTTTGAAACACAGATGCTCTTCTTGCATCAGGTTACAAAGGTATCAATTGATTTGCAAATCATTGAAATTCATTGCTTCTCGAAATTGACAAAGATGCTTCACGTCCACGATTGCACGTAAGAATTCCTGTCCTGTCTTTTATCTCGCACCCATCACCAGAACCGACATTCCGCGATGAAGATGACGAGGTTAATAGATCATTAAATATGTATCATGTTGCCTCAACTCAATTAATAATTTTTTATTTGAACCATGCTTTCAAACAAGGGTTAAAGAAAAGTAAGGGTGTTATACATAATAAGATTTTTATAAATCTTACTTCCATAGATAAATTATGAGAGCTCTCCATTTTCATGTATAATTTGAGAGTTATTTTATTTCATATATTAATCAAATGTAATTATCTTAAAATATATATTAAATTCTTTTTTTAATAAAACATTTGGCAAATACAAAATTTAGTAATTGAAGAATTTTGACAAGCACAAGGATAAAATAATAAATTAAATGCATATACATATCATAATTTTACTTTCAAAATAAAAGTACAGTCAATTTTATGATAACCTGACTATAATTTAATCAAATCAGAGTTTCTTTGTCAATGCAAACATGCCATTTGGTTGGTACATAACCAATTCTCGATCATCAAGTGATACGAGAGCTGTTTGTTTAGTTATTTATCTCTTGCTCATATTCGTAATTTAGATTATAATTTAATTAATTCGTAGCCGACCATCAATTGGCCTATTAGCTCAGTTGGTTAGAGCGTCGTGCTAATAACGCGAAGGTCGCAGGTTCGAAACCTGCATGGGCCATAACTTTTTAAAATAGAGATGATTTATTACTGGGCCAGTCCTGTAGTTTCTCCAACATAACAGGCCCAATCCAACTTCTATCTATCTTAAAACCATCTTGATAAGCCGAACAAATAAAGGCGGTTTTTTTTGGTAATTTAAATTTTTTAAAAATAATATTATTTGAAAAATATTTGATAAAATATTATAATTTGATATTATAGCGCGTGATATCCACTAAATATTATGCACTATATTGATTAAAATTTAAATAAATAAAACATAAGTAACATACAAATACTCTCATCTCTCTTAAAAAAACCAATCGACTTCCTCAAATATCTTTTAAAAAACATATTAATAATTTAGATTATATTTTTAAAATAATTAAAAATCAAACTTATTATAGTGTTTAAGCAATTGATGTTTTTTTTTTTTGGACTGCCACCAACTCTGTTATCATTACCGTAATCATTCTTATAACCTCATAAGCAATGTACTATTAATTTTAATTTGTTTTTGCTTTGGCTGAATTCAAATAATTATTTAAGTTAAAATTAAGATTTATGATGAATTTACTTTTTTTTTAAATTAATGATAAATTAGCTAAAAATATATTTAACTAGAGTTTATTTGATACACCTAAATATAAAAATAAATTGAATTAATAATGAATTAATTATTTCAATTAATAATATGTTGAGTTTAATTTAGGTTAATTGTTGAATTAAAATTTTTGTGTATATTATGGTAATCGACTAATAATTTTGTTAAATATGAATAGACATTCAAGTAATAGAACATAAATATTTGTTGAATTATGTCGAGTTATATGTTTCACTGAATTGTTAATAAATTGATTAATTTAATATTTTTTCTAAATTAAATTAATTTACTCTAAATTTTCATCTGATTTAATGAAATTGAGCATGAAAAATATTAATTAATAATATATCATAAATTATATTTAATTTTTTTTATTAAGTTTGCATTAACATTAAATTTTAGAAATTTAATTGATTTTACTATGAATTTTATCAATCATGGGTTGAAGTAATGTAATATAAAAAACTAGGATGGAAAAAAAAAAGAATAACAAATAGGGGTGCCAATAAAATTACTAATATCATGATGTGTCATGTTTATAAAATCCGAACCATTATCATGAAATCTAAATAATAATGATTTGTAATTGTTAAAAAAAAAAAGTAAATTAAAAGCATATCAAATTATAGAAATGAAATCTTCATTATTAATAACAAGTCATGATTTGTATTTTATAGATATATACAATAAAACATATATGCAACAAATTATTAAGCCATGCAACTGTTATTTTTGCATGTCTGTCTTAATTATTACTTGTGCAATAATATTTGAGGTATACATATTTTCGCAATGCTCATCATGCATATAGAAAACACAAAGTTGGGTTTTTTAAAACTGAAACTTGATGTATGCAGACTAGCAACCATAGGTCACATAGACTATCGAAATTGGATTTGGATGTGGGGTTAATGTTTTTTCAGAAAAAAAAAATCCCTGATCCACAATTAATCCATTCCATATCTATATATTTTTTATTTATTAAGCAACTAATTTAGTTATTAAAAACATGGCTAAGCAGGAGAAGAAAAAAATAAAATTAACATCAGATAACTTAAAGTACAAATATAAATCAAGCAAACTAACTCATTAAAAATAAATAAATCAAGCAAGGGTAAATCTACGAAAGAAATCTAAAATGATGCAACTAAATTCATTTCTTCCTGACCAAATAATCCGCTATATAATTTCTTTCTTTATGAATATATGTGTAGAATTCACGAGAGAAAATTAAGGTTTTGCATTATTCGACAAACCATCGACCATTGCAATATGTCTTCCTTGAACTTCATAACTAAACACATCAATTCTAGTTGAAACGAAAACAAGCAGCACAAGAAAGAAGGAACTCAAACACAACAAGTACGTATTACTAATAAGTGTAGTGTATGCACATCCCCTGAGTGGCTAAATTGGTCCCTTTACTCTTTGTGACCCACAGAACATGAATGCAGCATTAGGGTTTTTCTTTTCTTTTCCTTTTCTTGTTACCCTTGAGAAATTAAAACAAGATCCGGAGATGACTGAAGCAACAATATTGTACTGCCAGGAAGAAGGAGGTGGTGGTGGTGTTCAGTAGGGACGGAGCACATGACGGGAAAAACATCGTCACCAGGCATCATATATGATGATCCATAATTAAATTCCACCAAACTGACGACAGAGTGAGAATATAAACAGGTTAATACTTTGTTAGCAAGCTAAAAAACAGCTACGAATCTTTTTCGTAGGAAGAGAAACCTTATATTAAAACCTTTGTTAGAAAATATATGTGGTCTAGCTTCCTCTTTGATCCTGATTAATTTGAATACAACTTAATACATCCATCCTCCTTTCTGCCACCATTTCTTTGTTGTCTAGTGCTTGCCCTTCTCCTCCCTGTGTGATTTCTACCGACCCACCCCTTTTCTCTCTCTGCACTAACATCCGACAGCAAAATGGGAAGGTAACCCCACCAGGCACCAGCCCGCAATATATCCATTCTCTCTTCTCTACGTACACCATATTATGTAGTGATGCAAGTCCAAAAATACACACCAATATACCATCATTGCCTCTTTGTTCACCGGTAAAAACTACACAAAACACACCAAAAAAGACACACCCACAAGCAAAAAAAAAAAAAAAAAAACAGGAAAGGTACTCATGGTCTCTTAGTAAAATTATAGAGACCTGTGTTGTTGTTGAAGGATATTGATATTTGTTCTTTGTCTCTTAACACTTCCTGAAGAAGACTCGTCACCACCTGTCTTCTCCATAACCGATTTCAGTGCTTCTTGAATTGAGCTTATAGAATATTGCAGTGGTTGCTGTTGCTGTTGATGATCATTGCTATCACTTGATGAATCTTCTTCACCAGCAATGAACAAAACATTCTTTACACGTCCGCCAAGTGTCGTGATCTCAGCTTTTAATGTTCTTAAACGCAAAGCTTTCAAGGTTTTTATTAGGTCAGGCAAGAGATCAGACCTATCTTCGCAGCAAAGTGATGCTTTGAGCACAAATTTACCATCTTCATCAGCTGTATCCACTGTTAGCTCATCCATTTCAGTTGGTACTGGACTTGTTTCGGCTATCAAAGAAGTCTGGCGTTTTAACTCTTTAACATGTTGGATCACTTCTGCTAGCAGTGAAGCTTTGTCTGTCTGGGCCACAAACAAGGGAGAAGAATCAGTTTCATGCACGTTAAAGTTTGTACTTTGCTCATAAAAAAAAATGAATTACAAGAAAAGGAATCAAGCTATAATGATCATTTTGTAGGTTGAAGGGCAAGCAAACATAAATTATTACATGTAAAAATTAACTGTCTTTCGGTGTTTGAAAAGAAGAGATACTTTGGGGATATGAAGTTCTTATTCGTTCTTTTGATGCATGACTCAGGCAGGCATGAAAGTAGGTTTCACTGATGGTGGGGTTTTGAAAGAGGATTAGGGCACGGGGTATCTATAAGTGACTGACAAGAATGCTAGTTTTGTCTGTCTTTATATCTTTTCATTCTCTACTTAATTACTTTGACTGGAAACCGGCAAGAAATTTCCATGGAAGCTTTTCAACATCTCTTTGGTTCCTCTTTATCGTATCAACTTAGCGACATTAACGCTTATTCCCTTTTAGTTTTTCTTTTCTTTCCTCGGAACTAGCACAAGTCCCAGAAGGAGAATACACCAAAAGAAAAGAAAAAACAATAGGACGTAGCAGTGTTCAAAGGATGAAAACAAAAGGATAAGCTAACAAGAAAAAAACGT